TGGCTCGCAGCCAATCCGGGCGGATGTCCTTATAAGGACATAACACTCCTCCCCCCTTAGTCCGAACTGTCAAATCTCGTCCACAAAAGTCACGTAATCGCGCAGGTACGTAGGACGCCTCGGCACCCTAGCTGACCTGCGCAGTCTCACTTCTTCTCCGTCTCCGGCCTGGATGGACGGGGCTCCTTCGTCTCCTGGTTCCCTCTCCGGAACCGGGCTCGGTTCGGCTGTCGAGTGAGCGGGGTCACCCCCAGCGCCTCCGGCCGGACCGCAGACCTTGGATGGCTGGTTCTGTTGGTCTTCCTCCTGGCCTGTGGATCTATCGCCTCGTCTCGATTGCTCGGTTCCGACCCGGGAAGAGCGTCTGAGTCTCGGTAAGTCTGTCGCTTGCTCTTCCCTGGTCTCCCGGGCGCTGCGGTTCAGTCGCGGTTCGGCCTGCTGCCGGTTGGGTGGTGGTTCCGCTCGGTGCCCTCGGGTCCGGTCCGCCGGTCGCGGGTGGTGCTGGCTTGCATTGTGCTGTCCGACCTCGCAGGGGTGGCGTTGGTCCCCTCGGTTGGGCTGGCGTTGGTCTACCCCGTCTAGTTGGTGGTGGTCGACCAGGTCGGGATGTCGTTGCGGGACTACCTCTGCGGGGTGGCGGAGGTCTTCCCTGCCGGGGTGGTGTAGGTCTCCCTGGCCGGGTTGTTGTCGGCTTTCCCTTCCCCCAGTCCCTGGTCTACTGTCGGGTGGTGCCTTGGGTCCTCCGGGTCGGGTTGTTGTTCGCTGGCTGTCCTCTGAGATGGGCGGGGGTCCCTCTCGCCGGGGAGTCGTGTGCCACCCTCGCCCATGGGTAGTGGGGTGCCTGTCTTGGCTGGGTCCCGGTCTACTCACCTGGAACTGCGGTCTCCCTGGCTGGGCTGGTGTAGGCTGCCATCACTGGTGGGGTGCGCTGCTCCTCCTCTGGGCAGGTCCCGGTCTACTTGCGGGCTGGGTTGGTGGTCCCTGGCCCTGCTGTGCCGGGTGCCCACCTGGCTGGGTTGGTGTTGCCATCTCCCATGCGGTTGACCCCGGTCTACCTCGCTGGACTGCCGACGTGACAGTACCTGGTAGTGAGCCGGGCCGACCTCGTCGGGATGGCGTTGCTCTGCCTCGCAGGGGTGTGGTAGGCCTACCTCGTCGGGGTGTCGTAGGCCTACCTCACCGGGGTGTCGTAGGCCTACCTCGTCTGGGTGTGGTAGGTCTACCTCGCCGGGGTGTTGGAGGCCTACCTCGTCTGGGTGTTGTAGGCCTCCCTCGTCAGGCTGGTTTTCGTGTGCTCCCCCCCACCTTTTCCGGAGTTGGTCGATGTGGTTTCGTGCCTTCAGCTCGGTGGGCGATCGTGCCACGAGTCTTGTTCAGGTTCTCTTCTCAGTCCTTCGTCGCCAGTGTTGGATCAGGCGCAGGAAATGAAGACGTGACCAGCTCGATACATTAAGTAACTTTATTAGCTACAAAAGTAACAAGACAAGACTGCAGGCGCGCTGCCGGGGCTCTCCTTATATTCGCTCCCGGCAGACGCACCGCCCCTTGATAGGGATTCAAATCTCCCGCCCAATGGCTCGCAGCCAATCCGGGCGGATGTCCTTATAAGGACATAACACTAAGCAATTACAAGTCCTTTTGTATATTTACACAAAGTCAGCTTATTGCCCCCACAACTGGGTCCTCAATTTACCTACCTTAGAAAGGATGGAAGGCTGAGTCAACCTTGAGCCTGGCGAGATTCGAACCTGCAGTAATTGCAGGCAGCTGGTCTTAATAACAGGGTGCTTTAGACCACTGTACTACCAAGGCTCGGTAGTACAGTGTTTTGGGAGGAATTTGTGACATTCCCAGGGAGTTTCCAACATCAAAGTCAATGGGGGAAGCCAGATTCATTTAATGACTGTGATTCACTTAACAATTGTGGCAAAAGAAGTCATAAAGTTGGACCTGACTCACTTAACCGTATTGCTTAGGGATGGAAGTTCTGGCTCCAATTATGATCATAGGTTGAGGACTATCTGAACAACTGAAAGGATTCGACTTGTATAAAAACAGGCCATGACAGCCATTTTGCAGATCAGATCTGGATTTATTTATTTTTTTAACTGACAGCAAATATGACATTTTCAACCTCTACGAACAGGCTGAATGGTCATAAAACTGTTTACTACAGATAAGATCTTGAACTACTCTAAAGCTGATCTAAACATTATATAATTTTGAAGAGATTGTGAACAAAGTTAGTAGAGTTTTTATGGTTTCTTTTGGTTTTGTAGAGTCCAACTTTCTAGCTCTCATATGTGTTGATATAATGGAACAAATAATTTGAATGTAATGATAGTCATGTTAGCAGTGAGCAGTGCAGTGGCCTAGAGGTGAAGGCGCTCACCTCCCACTTGGAAGGTTGAGAGTTCAATCCTAGATCGCACAGATATTTCTCTAACAGGGCGCAAAGAGAAAATATCTGCTGCAAACTCTGCATAGGTCTCAGGAAGGGCGTCTGGCCAGTAAACACTCAGCTCCATTCAGTCGCCCCAACCCCATCCCAAAGCAAGTGATTACAGGGTCATAAAAAGAAAAAAAAAATAGTCATATTAACAGTAATTAGCATTCCTACTTTGCAATTCATGAAGAAAATCTATCCATGTGGTCACTAGGAATCAAAAACGACTTGATGGCACATAATCAGTCAAACACTTTGCAGGAAATACTGGTACCAAGCTTTTTAACAAACAGATATATTTGTGTGTACAGAATATGTGCTAGCATGCGCCTAATTAGATTTTGTTCTTTATTGAATTCTTTACAAAAATTCCAACCCCATCTTGATCTTTACATATTACTTCCCTTTTAACTCCTGTCTCCTTTCCCTGCTTTTATGGTTCCCTCGGTTTTGAACTTTAGATTGAAATTTCCTGAGGGCAAGTATTTATCTTCTTACATCCTATAAATTAAAGCATCATTCACACTGATTTGAAACAGTATACCACATAATAACTCAGATGGTTAAAATCTACGTAGAAGATTTTGTGATAATAAAGGCAGGATGTGGGGTGCTTTTTGTTACAGCATTTTTTTCTTTCCATTTATTATTTTTAACCTAAAAAAATAAAACCAAGGCAGGGAGCCTAATAGACATAAAGGCGGTGTGAATGTAACACTGGGGATTCAGACTTTAAAATGTGGAAGCAAGAGGTTGGTTCACCACAAGGGATCTCACTATTAGCCCATCTGTCTTCAGTGAAGAGCCTCGGTGGTGCAGCGGACTAAAGTGCTGTTAAGTGCTAGCACTTAGCTGCCAGCTGCCTGCAATTAGTGCAAGTTCAAATCTCACCAGGCTCAGGGTTGACTCAGCCTTCCATCCGTTCGAGGTAGGTAAATTGAGGACCCGGATTGTGGGGCCAATAAGCCAACTTTGTATAGAACAACATGGCTTAGGGGGGCCCGAAAGCCCTAATAAGCAGGTATATACAAAAAAGTATGCAGGCTATTGATATAATGCATTGTAAGCCGCCCTGAGTCTACAGAGAAGGGTGGCATATAAATTGGACTAATAAATAAATAAATAAATAAATAAATAAGTAAGTAAGTAAGTAAGTAAGTAAGTAAGTAAGTAAGTAAGTAAGTGAATATGCCTGAAAAGGACTATGATGTACCACATCACATTATCAACAGTGATATCATGTTAGCACAATCTAAACTGCATTTACTGTAAGTACTTTTGGATCTAAACAAGATTATTTGCCAGCAACAAATTTTAAAAGTCACTGCATTGGCCTTCGTAATGTCAGCGCAGCTATAAATCAACTTGGAAACAGTAGAAATTAAATGTCCATCTCCATCAAATTAAAAATAAACCAACTCTTTCTCTCCTGTTCACTCACATTCTATTTTGCTAATTCTTTAAATGAGAAGCAACATAAAAGTACATTATGACACTTGATTAATGTCTTTGTTCATCAGTGACTTGTACCTTATCCTGCTCTACACGTTTCTTCCCAATTCCAAGTGCCTAAGGCTGGTTGACATCCAAGCTGAAATCACAACTATATTATGTAAATTACTACTGGATTTTCTTGATTGTAAATACATGTATTAATTTGATTTATGACTACAACTGAGCCCAAAATATCCATTGTTAATGTGAGACATTTGTTAAGTGAGTTTTGCCCCATTTTACAACCTTTCTTGCCGCAGTTGTTAAGTGAATCACTACACCTGTTGAATTAGTAATACGGTTGTTAAGTGAATCTGGCTTCCCCATTGACTTTGCTTGTTAATGGAAGGTTGCAAAATCTGATCAATCACATGACACCAAGACACTACAATAGTCATAAATATGAGTCAGTTGCCAAGCATCTGAATTTTGATAAGGATGCTGTAACAGTTGTAAGTGTGAAAAACAGTCATAAGTCACTTTTTGAGCGATGTTGCACTTTGAATGGTCACTAAACAAACTGTTGTAAGTTGAGGACTACCTGTAAATCAATAGTGGGTTTCAAATCCTGTTGCTACCGGTTTGCTTGAGGACACTCGTACGCATGACGCTTCTGCGCATGCACAGAGAGGTCCGGGTGGGCGGAGCCTCCACCGCTGCTCACAGTTCGCTCGATCCGGGACGAAACGCTAGCAATCCACCACTGCTGTAGATATTTCACCTAGAGGCCAGCATGAGGTGCTCTCTTTTTTATCATTGTTTTATGTTTTGGTTTGAATGTTTTTTTCCCCACAAGGCAAGTGAATAAGGCAAGAGTCAGCATTTCATTTGGACCCAAAAAAATGGGTCCTATTGGGATGGCCTATAAGAATGCTCTTCATGTTGCAATGTATCACAACAGAACCTTTAAAGCTTGTCAGTTTTTCTTTACCTTATATCAAACAAATCAAGACTGGATTATTCTGAGGTGTTTTTTTTTCCTCATGTGTTCTCTTTTCCTAGGACTGAGTAATTTTTACTGAACTTCTCTTTCCTTAACCTTTTGTTCATCCTTTCTTAGGATCAGGATGACAACCTATCACACCTGAAGAAGTGTTGATTTTGTTTTGAAGGACAAGAGTGTCTGCCGAGTGTGTAATACTAACGGCTTTCTCGGTGCACTAGGAATACAGTTTGAACCTGTCAAATTAGTTTTTGAAAAAAGTCATCTGGGCAGCTCCGGGATACAAAGCAGACCTCATTAAAGTTAGCTGAGTATAACTCTTTGTTTATCTATTACAACTGGAGAAATCTGTCATAATCTTTTTCTTTTCATTGGGGCAGGCAAACTGCAAAACAATTAATCAAACCTCTCATAAGGCAAAAACCATGCCTGACAGGATGCATTCAGTTAGTCAGTGACGCTTGCTACAAAGAGAGGTGGATAGGCCAATAGAAAAGTGGACTGCTTATACATGAGTATGCATATTGAGCAGAGTGTGTTAATAATAATATAGGAAATACTAATGCTCTGATGGTCATTTCGAAAAATCCTTTCTTAGTGAGCACTTAGAAGCCAAGAGGAACATACGTGGCAAATTTCAAGTTTGTAGGCTTTATGGTTCTGGAGATTTCATGATTACGGCATGAGTGGTTTTTGCTTTTATATATATATACCTGTTATATATATACCTGTTATATATACCAAATGTTTTTGTCTATGTGCACATTGAAAAACACAGGCTGCATATGCTCAACACTGGATCAAATGACGAATGGGGACAAGGGGTTTAAATCGAGAAGCTGGCACCAGAGCCGTGGTGGCGCAGTGAATAGAATGCAGTATTGCAGGCTTACTCTGCCAACTACCATCAGTTTGATCCTGACCAGCTCAGTCTTCCATCTTTCCGAGGTCAGTAAAATAAAGACCCAGATTGTTGGGGGCAAAATACTAACTCTATAAAAACTACTTAGAGAGGGCTGTAAAGCACTGTGAAGCGGTATGTAAGTCTAAGTGCTTGTTGTGACCCTGGCCCTGGAGGCTGATTTATCTTCACATGCTGATTTGGAGGATGATATGGAGGAGGAGGAAGGTGTCACAAGCTATGTGCCAGAGGGGCCGTCTTCACTGGTGAGTCAGCAAGAACTAACAGTTGCTGACGTGCCTATGGACCCCAGCCAAATTGAGGAGGAAACAGAGGCCGGTATGACGAGGGGGAACCCCTATTGGATGCAAGCGAGAGACGTAGGAGATGTCGTAGAGAACAGTTATTGCCACGTCCTAAGAGGTGTGCTCAGGAGACATAGGGCCACACCCTACAAAGTATAAAAGGGGTGTGACTGGGCTGGAAAGGCATGGTGAACAATTTGTTGGCGTTTTGGATGCAGTGGAGTTACAACTGTTGGTTTGGAGTTTTTGACAAGAGTCTGCATTCCTGCATTAGCCTGCTGCCTGTTTGCCAAGACCTTTGGAACATTGCCCGGTAACTATTGGACTGATATATGCTTTGGAAGAGAACTATTTATTAAAGGGCCAGCTTCAGTCTCTCTAGCCTGCGTTTGTTACTGCCGGGCTATTTGAGCCTCTGCAAGGCCACTCGTGGGAGGGGACAGAACAGTGCTATTGCTGGCATTCCAAGTGGCCACCCACTGCTTCTCCCATAGGCAATGCATGAAGGATTTCATCTCAGTCCTCAATTGGTTCTGGTTTATTTTCAATCTTTCTTTTGCCAGCTCCTCCCACCATTTCAAATTTGGTTCCATTCTGTACAGTTTTTCATGAGCTATTATGAGGAAACAGAGATAGAATCTCAAGCCCTTCGTCTAATCTCTTTCCAATTTCAGTAGAGTTTGAAAGAATAAAAACTGTTGCTGTGCCATCTTTTATCAAATGAATTTTACTGTTTCCCTACCTTCTGATCATTTTAACTGCATCTAGTAGAAATGACAAGGGTAGGTCCTAAAAATAACGGTGGATTCCCATGTCATATTAAGGCATGATTTGTTGAATAGTCTCACAGTTAGCTGGAATTGCACAATGCATTAAAGTATTAGCTGTGCTCTGAATACTGGGGCACAGTAACACAATTGAACCTCCTTCACAGTTCTGAAATTTGAATTCCACACCCACACCTCAAAGTTAAAAACAAAACCAGAACTGAGGAGACACAAATGAGCTAAGCTTAAAAGAAAATGTCAAGTAGCATGACAAGAAGTGTAAAAATTTACATTGATGCAAATAAGCAAAAGCTAAGAAAAGCACAGGAAAAGGAAGCAAAAAGAATTTGTAGTATTTTTGTTCTACCTTCATGTCGATGTGCTTTTATTACAGTCAGGTAAAGTGAATTTCTCATCCCACCTGCACTGTTTTCCCCTGGTTCCAGATTAGCAACACACATAAAAAAACAGGTGGAACTTCAATTACACATTGGAGTAGCCATCTTGACTCTTTTGATCAAACCCTGAAGACATCTTGACACTCAGCTACAGGCAGGTCAACAACTAACTACTTAACTCAGTTAGGTAGTTAGCAATTACTATTAGAGCAATTATTATTAGACAATATAGGCCAGAAGTCTCCAGTACAGGAAGAGATTGCTCCCCATTTCTTAAAGCTGTAATAGCACTACGCACAAAGATAGTAACATGTGGCGATCAGGAAGAAAATGAAGCACACAGCCCAAAGGAAGTTGACCTTGTCTTGTCTAGACTTCCTACAGATCAAAGAAGGAGTCACAGAGACCAGTTGAATGCGCACACAATTATTCATCAAAACAGAGAATGTTTCATTCAGTGAAGGACCTAAGACAGCAATTCTTATGACATTTTGGCCTTTTGTTGTTGTTTCTTCCACTGACAGAGTTCATTTTACTGAAAACCTGAAGACTGGTAAAAGGTATTTTATTATTTGAAATAATAGTTTAAAGGTCAGCCATCTGGTTCATTTCCAAAGGATATTGATAAGCTTTTGAAAATCTTATTATACAACCATAAGCACAGATGACGTGAAAGTCCACCAAGAATATCTCTGTTACTCCCCAACTTTAGGCAAATTCTTTTCCAAGGTATTTGGCTTTTCCAATTATGGACAAAGCAAATTGGTGAGTGATTGATATACATGGCTGGCTTCACTTAAAAAGTGATATTAGATGCCCACCTCACAGGATATACTGGCTCAGAATCTAGACCAGCCATGTCAAAATGGCTAATCCCAGACTCTCTGCTGAAGCTGCAACAATGGCTGAATTGTACAGTATACTGGTGTCCAAGGTAAAGTGTAACAACCAAGGACTATGTATTTTCATGAGGTTGCTCACAGCTCTAATAATGCTATGCCAGTTGTTCCAGATATGTAAATATTCCCTGGAGTTATAGAATGATTTTATCCTTCACAGAGTATCAAAAAATGGCATCACTTCTCCTTATGTACGGTCTCTTAGCCCAAATGTAAAGTTCTGTATGTAGGTGCAACAAAATGATCTCACAGGTTTCTAAGGCCAATTCATTTCCACTTCAGAGATATCCACAAGGTGCCGAAGAAGTCATTCATCTTGGAAAGAAGAAAAGATTTATCAGAAGTTAGAGCTCTGAAATATCGAATAACGAAATCCACCCCCCCTTTCTTTCTTTTTAACTATATTTCCTCACAAACATCTTGGAGCCCAACACCTGCAATTCAACATTGTTAGTTACTCCAAAACTGACTTAAACAAAGCTGTAGAGCAGCTCCAGACCTCACTCAATAATTTACAAGATGTCAGCAACTGTAAAGAATTGTAGGCATCTAGAGAACTTCTGGTCAAGAAATATAATAGCGACTTGCCAGAATGGCTTTGTGAGCATTTTATTGTAACAGAAATCTAGTGATAAAAATGAACAATAATGGAAGTTACCCACTTATTGTGATAGGGAACTGTAATTTATTATCAAATTTTGCCGAAGTCTGCATTGCATGCCTGCTTATCTTTTATCATCTCTATGACAGGGACAGCTGCACTTGTAAAGAGGCCATTCTCCAAACTTAAATCAATAAAAAGAAACCCATCTGTGAAGTTAATATCAGAAGAACATCCAAGTGGTTTGTTGGTATTCTCAATGGCAATGAATTGTCATAAGACTTGATATTCCAATATAATTGATATATTTATAGCAGGGGTGAAATCCAGCAGGTTCTGACAGGTTATGGAGAACCAATAGTGGAAATTTTGAGTAGTTTGGAGAACTGGCATATACCACCTCTGGCGGCCACAGAGTGGGGTGGGAATGGAGATTTTGCAATATCCTTCCCCCAGGAGTGGGGAGGGAATGGGGATTTTGCAGTATACTTCTCCTGCCATACCCACCAAGCCACACCACGCCCACCAAGCCATGCCCACAGAACCGGTAGTAAAGGAATTTGGATTTCACCACTGATTTATAGATGGAAATGCACCAAAGAAAAATGTTTCATAGTTCCTTTGCAAGTTACTTCCGTGCCTTCCATCTTCACATAAGGTAAAGGTTTCCCCTGTCGTACTCTAGGGAGCACTTCTGATCTCCGTTCCTTAGCTGAGGGAGCCATTGTTGTCCAAAAACACTTCCATGGTCATGTGGCCAGCATGAGTTTATGTCAAGGCACACGGAATGCTGTTACCTTCCCACCGAAGTGGTACCTATTTATCTACTTGCATTTGCATGTTTTCGAACTGCTAAGAGGCAGGAACTGGGGTGAGTAATGGGAGCTCACCCCATCATGCAGAGCTCGGGTCTCAAACCCAGACTGTCAGCTTTCCAGCTGACAAAATCAGTGTCTTTAACCACTGAGCCATCATGCCCCTTGTCCATGTGCAAACAGCCAAGAGTAAAAACAGGCCTTCTCTGTGATACTCCCACATTCTGAAACTCTCTGACCACAAGGCAAGTTTATCTCCCCTGTTCTGCCCTCAAGTAGATATTGAAAACCTTCCTATTTAGTTAGGCTTTTCCTACCCAAGCTATATTTGGGGGAACAGCATGTATTATTATAATTACTTTTAATTGGGGCAAGAAGAATTTCCCTTTTATGCTCTTTTTTACACATAGGGTTAATAGATACCTGAAGATCCAAACACTTGGAAAGGGGGACAAATGGGAAAAGGAGGTCACATTGTTTAATTTTCTTGACATCTATGACAATAGACCTACACGCATATGAAATTCCTTTTTACGTTACCACAAAGGTTGGTTTTCCAACCACAATATTTTTTCAACAAACCTTTATTTTCAAGACTCTACACTAGCAATAATATAGATGCGCTATGATGCGCTTTCCATACTTTACCATATGGCAAGTCACATGATCTACAGACTACAGTGATGATAATAGATTTGAAGGGGCTGGATTGAAGCCCGTTGTTGGAGTCAGGAAATAAATTAAATAACATAAATCTAGCTTGTTGAGTCTGTGAACAAACAAGAAAAGAAAGAAGCAGGCAATTTACAAAGTTGCGACATATCTCTTCTTCGTTTTCTCTATCAAATATAAGTTCTTTGATCTTTTATACATTAATTTTCACCCTTGCTCCAAATCATTTGAATTCTCACCAACAATAGTGCATTATTTGCAAAGAGAATTTCATATATTACACCTCCGACCATGATCCCTCTAAGGTTACCACAAGCATTCTTTGGGTATTTTTCCATAAATACATTAAATAGCCAAGAGGACACAAATAACATTCTTAAATTCTGACTCATTGTTGAACTGTTCTCTAAGCATTTAATTTATTCTCATTCTATCATATACTGCTCTTATCACACTCAGCAACAAATCTTCAAGTCAACATTTGTGCAAAATGTTCCGTAATTGAAGCCTAATCACTTTATAAAACATTTTGTCACGCTTCAATGCAGCACAGCTGTAAATCTAGATTCTCCAGACTTTCTTATTCTGCAATTGCCTTACTCGGCAGTATGCTCTCTGACTGTGGGCTAGTATAAATATTTTATTGCAATCAAAGAGTGAAATCAACTACAGCAGTCAGAATCTATAGCTAAGTGAAGGGTTAAAGGATTTTTTAATCCTTTCACTTTCCAAGTGAACAAATCTTTTTGGTTCTCTTCAGATCAGCTGGTATTTGTTTGACATTATCATTTTTATTAGAAAACCACAGCTCCCTGCTTCACCAGTTTCCTTCCCCACAAGCTTTCTGTAACATGCAGTAAACTTTCTCATATTTCTGATTTTTCCCCCACAGTTCTTATGTTTCTCAGGGACTTCCTGGAGAATGAAAATCTGGTCAGTGCACTTCCCAAATTTCACTCATTGTCACTTTTCATCTTCTTCAAAAGAGTGTTGTGTTGAGACCGCTCCAGATATACCACACAAATGAATCCTGGCGTTTGCATTCACTGTTGCTACCCTTCACTTTGTACAGAGGAACAATTTTGGCATTGTTCTAAAAACCAGGCACATTCGCATAAGCATTTAAACAAGTCGCCCAGCTATTCCTGAGCAAACCGCCTCCATATTTCAAGATTTCTCTGGTGACAGAATCAACATCTGAAATTTTATTAGTTTTCAACATTGTCTCAGCATGCATTACCTTCCTTTTTATCTTTTTTTTGTTTCCTAAATAATAAGATCCATTGCATTCTTTTTAGTTTCATTCTTCAGCACTATCTCAGTTCAATCACTTCCCACAGCTTCTCATCCTTTTTATTCTTAATCCATTCACTCTGCTAGAGGCTTTTGATTTTGCCCTCTTCACTTACTTCAGAGCATTCTTTTTTTAGTTTCATAAATAAAATGCCTCTTGCAATCTTAACTATTCCTTAACCATTCCTTTGATTACCTTGTTTTCTCTATGTACATATTAGATAATTTCTTATTTATATACACTTTTTCATCCACAATTTTTTTCAGTTCATCATCCCACAAAGCCTTTGTTCTCTTATTTCACACTACTGTAACATCATTGGCACTTTGTAACATTAATTATTTTAATCCTCAGCAGCTTCTGTATCATCCTTCCTTGTGCCCACTTTTCATATATTTATTCACATATTTCATTATATTTAATAAGGGTGACTGTGTATTAATACATTTTCACACACAGCTTGTATTTTTCCCCACTGTCAATTTCCTTTACTGAAGTTTCTTTCATTTCTTTCCTTTTCTGTCCTCCATACTATTTCCCCCCAAGATTCCCTCATGACCCTACCAAACACATCATATGTCTCATAATCAGCCTTTTATGTCCCTTGAATTCATTACTATTTTTTTTCAGTCTTTCATTACAAACACCAAATGAGTCAGTTACATTCACTTTGTCATGCATGTGGTAACAGACTTGAACTGAAACCACATACTAAAAACAAGCAAGCAACAAACCTTTTCTAAGAAGTTAAGAGTAGTCACAACAGTCCCCATTTTCTTTCATTCTTGAGTCTCCCAAGTGATTCATTGACTTTCTCTGTACTCTCATTTCATTCTCATCCATCCATTCATTCAAAGAATAACTTGCTTTGAGTGAATCATATTCATTCAAAACCTATCCCTGATTCTTTCATTACCACTATTCCCTGGACAGTAACATGCTATTATCAACAACCTATTAATTCTTACTTTCATACATGTCCACACTAATTTAGAAATCATAATCTCATACTTTGTGACATATATGTCACCTATTTTTCTCATGAAGAAATGTTCAGTTCTTGGCACGTATTCCACTTCACGAAAACTGAACACATTCCTTCATCTCTGTTAGCTTTTCCCTCTTTATCTTTACTTCACAAACACACAAATATATACCTCTTTCACCTTCTTAATGTATGTTCTTTTTATTTTCCATTTGTAATCATCCTTAGTAACCTGGTTGTTTACCAAATAACCTGTAGATAATATCTTCTGCCATTCATCATGGTGTTGCCTAATTGAGGCATTTGGATAACATTTGTCAGAGGAGACATATAGACTGTGTTTATAGTCTATATGTCTATATAGACTATGAGTCCCTATTTGGACCCATGTTGCACACAATTTTCTTTGCTAATGATTTATTTATTTTTATTTTATTTTATATTGGATTTCTATACCGCCCTTCTCCCTAAGGACTCAGGGCGGTGTACAGCCAGATTAAAAAAAACATGCAGAACAAATATTAAAAACAATTAAAAGATATATAAATTTGGCCCAATTAAAACTCATTTACCAATTAAAAACGTTTAAAACATTTAAAAACAGTTAAAAATTTCATCTTAAGCCAGCCCGGCTTGTTTAAATAAGTGGGTTTTAAGGGCGCGACGGAAGGCACTGAGGTCTTGGATTCTCCTTATCTCTGGGGGGAGCTGATTCCAGAGGGTGGGTGCCCCCACAGAGAAGGCCCTCCCCCTTCTCTAAGAACAGTAGTGGTCAGTGTTGGCACTTTGTGCCTGGAATGCCACAAATATATCAAATCTCAGTTTTATCCCAACTATGCTTAAAAAAATCCTATGCAAGCTAGGATTTTAAATCTACAAGTCACTTAAGTTTCCATTAATGCAGATATAAAACAATATGTGCCTAATATGTAGTCATGCATTATGCTCTTTGATGTAACTTTACTGATGAAAGGTAAAGGTGTAAAGTATGAAGGTCTGGGTCGGTAATTTTAAAAATGGCAGTGTTAGTAACTTCCATTAACAAAAATGTCTGGATTCATATTCTGAATTTTTCTTCCTCTCCACTATCACCACTTCCACAAAGAGAGAATACAGAGGCAGACACAAAATAATCCGGATTGTCCTAATCCATGTGGGCGACTGAGAAATGTAGGAATGTAAGCAACTATTCTCTCTGTCACTCTCTGTCTCTGTCTCTCTCTGTCTCTCTGTTGCTCTCTCTGTCTCTCTGCCTCT